GGTTCATGTAAGGGTAGCCTACTCCGCACGCTCCAGACAGGGAAAGGGGCACGCGCATGCGTGGGCAGCTTACTCTGCACGCTCCAGACAGGGAAAGGAGCGCATGGGAAGGCTGCAAATCAGCAATAAATATAATCTCGGTAATTATGACTGCTCTTTTAAATAAACCAAACCAAAACCTAAAACCGATTCCCACTGCCAAGGTTGGATTTGTATGAGGCTAAGGATGTTGTCATTCTATGATGTATGTGTGTTTCTGTTTCTTTTCTCTTCTTTTCTTTTCCTTCCTTCCTTCTCTTTCAGTTTCAGATATGTCTGCAGGGGAGAGCTGGGGTTCGTATCCATGGGTCTCAGCTACATCTGGGCAGATTTAAGGAGATAATACCCCAGGGGGTCCACTCAGGATGGGGCTAAGGACATTTATCCACACAGGGAAAACTAGGCTCATGAGCTCTACCCAGGGGAAACCTTGACCCAAGCAGGAGAGTGGAACAGAGAGCCCCATCCAGTCTGCTGGTTTCCAGACCTGTGTTTGGCTCCGGAGAAGGAACTTCCTCACACAGACCATGGGAAAACAGCATCTTGGAGCCAAGGAAGAGGCACAGTGGTTGCCCAGGAGCCACTGAACTGGCCCTGCAGAGCTCAAGGACCACGGGATGCAGTGATGGGTTTGGTAAGGACCGGAGGAAGACACCTGGTCAACTTCAAGCTGTCTAGTGCTCTTCCCTCCGGGTGATTTCTAGAGTTAGATGCAAGAGACTTGGCAGATGTCAGAGTTATCTGTAAGACTAGAATCCAGAAAAAAAAAATTAAAGCGTCCCGCAGAGGCTGGTGGCTCCCAGTCAGGTTGCATACAAATGAACAGAAGTGGCAAGGCAGTGTGGGAAGTCAATTTGCTTCTGTTCTGTTGATTTTATAATTTAAAAACTCAGTTGAAATCAGAATTGCTTCTCACTTGGACACCAAGTGCTCATTTTGCAAAAATGCCAATATTTTACAGCAACCCCTGTGTAACCACGAGCCACAGAGGATGCAGGCAAAGCTTCCTTTCTCCTCGCAGATACTGGCTGCCTCAAACACCCACCGGAGCTTTCATAAATAAAACATAGCAGCGCAACATGGGGGTGGGGGGGAGCTCTCCCTCTCCCATGAAAGGAATTAGTGTAGTCAGTAAGAAAGGAAGCTGTGTGTGCAGCCCAGGGTTTCCACCCCAGGAAGGCTGAAGATACCAGAGACTACAGAATCCTGGTGTGAGAAGGCAGGCCGGGAGTCAGGAGGAGGCTGTCACATGCATTTAACCCTTAGGCTTCCAGGGTGTCATTCTATGATCCCTTCCATCGAAACCTAGACTCTGCCAATCATAACAAGAAAAAAGAGCCCCAGAGGTGCCTACCTTCAGGCATTGGATGAAAAACAGTGAAAAGCTACGGAAATTCAGATTGAGAAGGCTGGTGATTGTCTGTGCTCTGTTGGGTTTTGTGGATTGTGAGTGCACACACACACACACACACACACACACACACACACACACACGCCTCTGCTTACCTGGGTCTGCCGATAGTGTCGCAGAAAGCCCTGAAGCCCCAGTACATATCTGTGGAGCCTGAGGATACCAGACACAACAGGCCACAGGAGAGCTGTTTTGGTTATTTTAACTGGTCTGATGATTGAAAGAAAGGTTCACTGTGACCACTGGCTTAGGATATCAAATTAAAGTTCTGAAACAAAACCTGAGCCCACCCCAGCTATGGTAGCATTGGCGTTGTGGTCTTTCCTGCTTATGACACTTCTAGTATTAAAGCCACTGCGGTATTTATAGGAAGATAGTGGTAGCTCGTATACTTTTTTGGCTTGGTACTCATGTCTGAAACCTATTCCTTAAGAGATACCAGAACAGAAACTGTAAGTTTCTATTACGTCTCCTACTCAATCCCTCTTTTTCTTACACTAATACTTTATATAGTATGGGTTTCTCCTCCATCAATGCTGAATTAAGAAAATACATCAAACAGATGATAACAGGAATTTAAGGGTGTACCAGTGGAACTTCGAGGCTAGAATGATCTAGATGGCCCCACCAATAGCTGGCATGTGAGTGACATTCTGAGGTGTGACTAAGGACATGCTACCTAGTCTACATGCTTTCTCCAATGTGTCTTGCCCTGAATCACTTTGCCTTGTAACATGACTAATCTCAGTGTAGAGTATGGGGAGTTTTACTCGTTTACATTGGAGTTCTTTTCAAATGAATGAATGGCTATAGCAAAACTGAAGTGGTTAAGGGGACTAGAACTTCATTCCCACCTCCGCCACAGTGGTTCTGGGAGCCCATTTCCTGTCTCTGTCTCATATGACTACATAGAGCCAAGAGGGGTGGGAACCAGGTCACCACTAAAGGCTTCCAGCGGAGCTGGGCACCTTGTAGAATTGGCCTCCATGTATGCATAGCCCTTAAATGTCATGACTGATCTTGTCAGGGAACACAGGGAAATCTCAGCCATTTTGGTATTTTATCAGCACATGGATATAGCAATGACTTTACAGAGAGTTCTGGTGAGCCCATAGTGTCTTAGATGTCCTCTTTGAACTGCTCCAGACCAGAGATTAAAAACAAAACAAAAAAAAAACTAGAAACAGTTTTAAATCAAAAGTTATGATGACTTTATTTTAAATCTTAATACACCAAAAATATCTTTTAAATGTTGTGAAATAAGCACTTGAAAATAAGAATTCTGACATTGCTGTGATTTGCTGTGAGGCTTGATAGTGAGTTTCCCTCTGAATAGGAGTTTAGGGCCTAGAAAGCAGAAAGCCAGCCTATTTCGGGGTAGCAGGGAGCGAAATCCAGCCCGATCACACTCAGACCCATACTTAACTAAAACAACATGTCCACACTAGTAGGAGGCATTGTCAAGCTACATCTTGATCTTCTCAAGTGCCACCAAGCATTGGGAAGATACTGTTTAGATACCAGTGAGAGTAAGACCTGTTCTGATGTGTCCCAGCTGGGTAGGTAAGATGCCCGGATCTTGATCAGCAAGCTACACCAGCAGAACTTGACTACAGTGCATTTGTGTTGTTGGCGGTGATGATAGTTGTGGCCATCTGGCGAGTGACACACAAACGTCTGAGTTTGGCTCTGTTTGACCTGCAGTCAAAGTGGTTTCCAAGACCAGCCCTGCTCCAAACACCCAGATGGCCCCCTCTGCACCCAACACAACTTTAGCAAATGTCGGCAGGAAACACGGAAGCCTGGGTATCTGAGAACCCCGACTCCTCAGAGTATCTGGGGATGAGGAGCGCTGGGTTACACAAGAGGCTTCTGGGTGTTCTGCGGCGCTCTGACTGGGTCTATTTTAGCTGGCCTTCTCAGCTGTGGGTTCACCTACGGCTCCTACATGTGTCTAAGTGCTGACTGTCACAACAGGCACTGAGAATTCTGAACAGGCACCAACATCTATTTTGCGTCGCTATCCGGTACAGAGGACGCTGGCTCAGAGGCCAGCTAGGATGCAAAGCTTCACATCGAGTGTTCGAACAAAACAGGTCATCCTCGCTTCACCAGATGTCACTCTCATGTGCACAAGTGACAGATCCCACCTTGTGAATTTTCACCCTAATCGCTTTCTGATTGCAGGGAGCTCAGGGACCAGGAAATGGGCATACAGAAGAACAGGAACAGAATAACACTAAGCTGCAAAAGACAATGACTCACAGGACCACAGGCTCTACAACTGTCCCAAACTGATAGCAAAATATTTATTATCCAAACAAAGACCAGGAAAAGACGCGTTTGAAGGCTAGAAAGCACTGGGCTAGCATCAGGATATTCTCACACAACTGTTGCTCTCCGGGACTGACTGGTTCCCAGGGAAATGTGCCTACACAAGGATCCTGCACAGGCCCGAAGCTTGCAACTCCAGGGGTGGAGTCTAATTTGGTCTGCTCCATTCTCCTAGGAACTCCCTTTACACTTCTGTGGTAGTTCAAGGACCACAGCATCTGCCTAGAAAAGGCTCTTGGTGGGTGCCAGGGCTCATGTCTGGGTGTGGCAGGCTTGGAGGAAGAGCTCCTTCTATCAGAATAAGATAGTAACCAAGCAGTGTGGGAATGTAGCAAGACTTCTGGAACATTCATTCTACTCTAGTGGAATGGTGCTTTCCACTCTATGGTGACAGGATTTATCTCATCACAAAGATATAACTGACCCAAGACAAACGAACAACAACCCGTGGGTGTCCTCCCTGGAAGAGTTTTCCTAGGTTGCTGGAGGCTTCCCACCCACATGAAGCTTCTGCACAAGCTAGGGGATCATCATATAAATACTGCTGGAGACATAACAAAGCTGCTTTCCTCCTGAAGCAACGCACATGTATTTACCTTCCAGTCTCAAATGTCTATAATAAAATAGTATTAGAAAAACGGGGCGGGGGCGATGACACAGGACTGCCTGAAACAATATCCTTGAGAACTGTGATTTTAATTCAATACTTTGGCCTGGCATTGGACATAAATACGATAAAATAAATAGCAATAGTTGTTCTTTCCTCATAAGTGACACTAAAGGGTCCAGACAAAAATCTCCTACTGTGTGAAGGATTTCTCACTAGAATTTCATTGCAAACTCACACATTTGAGTCAATGCTCAGACCTAGTGAATGAAACTGCGTTTCTATGAAACTAAGGATCTGTTTCCATTTAATCTAGGAGCAATGTGCTGACTGCACTGTGATTGGAATGCAGCAGGGACGTCAATAGGAAGATGATCTATTGCAGCATAGTGGGGCAGCTAACAAACTTGCTGGCCCGGAATGTGAACCGACAGCAGTATTATCTAGGTGGCAGTCAATTCTCTGGCAGGTTTCAGATGTGTCATAGGCCAGTGGTCCAGCCTCGTATCTTGATATAATTAGAGCAGCTAAGCTGATATATTATAAAAAAAAAAGTGTGCTGAGCCTATATCAGAATTCTGTTTTTTAAAAAACATGTGGCTTTTTTTGTTTCCCCACGATGAACACCGGAAATGCCTTTAGATATATTTAGCTGGTTTAGAAACTATTTATTAGATATTCATCCTGCAAACGAAGAGTCTAAGTTTTTCTACATGTGAACACAGCATGAAGCGAAGATCAAGATTAAAGTGCTTTGGAAGCATAGCTTAGTCTTCTTAAAGTTTACGCTTTATTTCCATAGTGTAGCCTGTATTCTACGATAAATATCTGAATTTAACTGAGTCGGCCAGGTGAACCTCGGGCTGGCCCTGATTAGATTCAAGTCAGCCGACAGGTGACCTTTCCTTCATTTCCACCATTTTGCACGCTTTTCTTCTATAAGGCAAGGGAAAGGCTTATTACTGTACAGGGCTGCGCCTTTACAAAGGTCAAACAAACAACGACACCCTAAGACTCCACTTCACGTTGTGGCTCCACACTTTCAGCTCGAGTCAACTTCTGTCCTGATAACACCACCTCCTTCCAATCACGTCCCCTCCTGCCAGCCAACATGAAGCCACCACCCGGTGCTAACATGGATTGCGACAGCTGCCCCCCAGTCCAGCTTGGCTCCCCGTCTTTCAGTCTTTCAGTCAGGTCTTGACCTGCATGGATTCTTTGTGTTTACTCTTCAACCCATTCACACAGAACGGAACTGAGCTTTATTCTTTTCTAACTGCACACATCAGCAAGCTGCCGAAACCACCCTTGCCATCTCACAGAAAGGCTGCGCAGCTGTTGTAGGAGCGACAGCACAATTAAAGCTAAAATAATATAAAAATAATATAAAAATAATTTGAAAAAAAATCCCTTTTCCTGTTCACTCTCAAGTGAAGGAAGATAGCGATAGTTTCTGCTAGCCAAAAATTGTGTTCCTGTTCACTTGGGCTTTGCAGCTCAGTGTACCTCACACTTCTGTGCATAAGTGGTTAGGAGTACATAATCTACGAAGTGTAGCGGCCTCTAATGGTTTCCTCTAGTTCGCCTAATCATTAAGCTACTTAACCAGTTAGAATACTAGTATACCACATTGAACAACTTTACATAGTTGCATCTTTGAAATATTAGGAACACCGACACATTTATTTGGCTTGTAGAGGACTGAAATATTACAGATAACATTGTCTAGCTTGCTTGCTTGCTTTCTTTTAAGAATATGGCTCTTGATACATTTACTTTCTCCGAGTTCCCAAGTGAAAGTCACTTTAGAATTTAGTGGCGCTTACTTGAAGCAGTGAGGCTCTGTTCTGATTTGGTCAAATGGATGGCGGGCATTTGACAGCATTTAAAACGTAGGGATTCATCTACGCAGGCCCTTCGTGGTCTGCCTGTTATTTCAGCCTGTATTAAGTGTGTTTGGTGGAGTTTCCCACTCGGCCAGCAGAGGGCACTCCACACACCTCCGCGCTGCTTAGGGAGCAAAGGCAGAGGATGCAGAAACACAGTGTTTACCTCAAATCAGGCAGAGCCCCGAGATATGTTTCTGAAAGTCACAAAAAGATAGAAAACATGGACTGTGTCACGGGGCCTCATGTGGAAAGCCAGGAGTCTGCATGAAGCCAAACAAGGAGGAGAAGCAAACATACTGTCAGTCTCCTGGATGAATCTTCAGCTCCCCCCTCTTCCCATTGTCCTTTCCCCTTTCCCCGGCTCAGTGGCGACTGGCTGAGTTTTGTTGCGGATAGTACAAAACCCCATTTTCAAGTCAACGGGCTGAGCTTCTATCTTTTCAATTCTGCATTTACTCTTCTGTCCTAAAGTCTGGAGCGACTGAACCAAGGATGCTTCATATCTCGACGAAGAGCAGAAGTAACAGTTGTCAAGGCGACGCTTCAACCGCAGGGTCTGCTGCGGGACCACCTTCTTGGGATGTGGGCTGCGTGGTTTCCATCCTCCCAGAAATACAGTATTGTGAGGAAGTATTGACTTCTGTTTGGTTGTAGCAAACTCAGTAGCCTGAGGCTGTGCAGCGAAGGGAAACATATCTATCTTCTTAATTTCAGCTGCAGTAAAAATAATTAAGACATCTTTTGTCAAGGGGCTACGAGCTAACCTTCCTTTAAAAGGCCTTGATTTTTGCAAAAGCATTGCTGTTCTAGATATAAACCCTGTGTCTCTTCCATGTTTATCGTTTCTACCAGCTCTGGTTTCGTGTAGAAAAGATGGAAAGGAATTGTGTCTCTCTGTGTGTGTGTGTGCTCACATAGTTTGGAAGGGGGAACTTCTTTGTCCTTAGAGAAAAATAACTCTGAACTCGATTTTTCCCCTCTTCCTATAGTGTTTTGCTTGCTTTCCACTAATCCCTCCCTCTGCCTGTGGCTCCCTTTGGATCAAGTGTGTTCTAGAGTTGACAGGAGCGAGGGAAAGGGTCCCTCGGCAGCAGCACTGGGATGGAGATGCACTCAGTGAGTCCTCACCCAAAAAGGATCATAAACTTACTGCGTTTAAAGTCAAGCTAATCATTACTCCCAAGCTGCCTCGGGTTTTGTGTCTGCTCATACGTGTGTTTTGTTTTTTAGCTGCACCATGTGTGTGATTCCTTGTGCCATTTTTTTTTTTTTTTATCTTTTGTCTAGTATTTTTCGTGATGACCCTGAGCTATGTCTTCCTCCTCAGTCCGGACACTATTCAGCCTTCGCTGTTTTCTTCATTTTGCCGATGTAGGCCTCGAAGAAGAAATGGCAGAAGAGCACAAGGTAGCTGAGGTACATGAGGGAGGACCAGAAGATGTTCTGGAAGTGGGAATGACACTGGTCGTGCTGCATCCAGGTGAAGACCAGGTAGTTAATGACACAGCCCATCAGCATCTGAGTGATCTGGGAGAGGGTGATGAACATGGCGAACTTCCGGGAGATGCGGAAACCCGCGGCCCGCAGGGCGTAGTAAGAGTACATGATGGCATGCACGCTGTAGTTCATCGTCATGAACCAACCGCCCCCCGCCACCATGTCTTTGTAGGAGTACCAAGAGTACAGCAGCACAGTGATGTGGTGGTACCAGTGTAGGAAGATGAGCTTCTGTTTCCTCAGGACGATGAATATCGTATCTCCTGGAACACAAAGAGGGGAAAGAAAGGGACGTGAGGCCCACAGCGTGCTCCGGAGGGAGTGGGGGTAGAAATCTTCAACAAGCGAGGCGGGCTACTTTTCCAGACACTCAACAGGAAATCTTACTCATTTCTGATCTGAAATGGACATTATCAACCAGACTCAAGCCTCCATCGGCGGAAACGTGACCAGAAGAGGACGGGTGACTGGTCTCAGAACAAGAATGACCAGGAGACAGACTCAGATGCCCAACAAAATGTGCTTAGGCATCTCTTGATAATAATAAAGACATAATTACCCTTACATAGACTATATCTAGATCTAGATAGATGGATAGAGCCCTCAAACATGTATCTTGTGAGCGCTGTGTCCTTGTAAATAAGAAAAACGTGACTCAGAATGGGAGATGTAGCTCTGTGGGGGCAGAGGGCTGGCCCAACATTGGCAAGGCCCTGGGTGTGACCTCCAGTCCCACCACATAGTCAAAACAAAACAGAAACCAGAAGAAAACCCAAATTAAACAGGAGACAAGGGCAGAGGAAGGTGGAAACAAATGACCGCGTCTAAGACTTAAATTTTATGAAAAGACTATTAAAAATTCTCTAAGAATGTCAATTTTTCCCTCTCCATACTACGAAGAAGAAAAGAATTGGTGGGCTGGAGAGATGGCTCAGAGGTTAAGAGCACTGCCTGCTCTTCCAAAGGTCCTGAGTTCAATTCCCAGCAACCACATGGTGGCTCACAACCATCTGTAATGAGATCTGGCGCCCTCTTCTGGCCTGCAGGCATACACACAGACAGAATATTGTATACATAATAAATAAATAAATATTAAAAAAAAAAAAAAGAAAAGAATTGGTTTGAAGTAGGGACTTTATATACAAAAGCTAGAGCTATGCTCGGGTATGTAGCCACTCGCTGTCACAAATCCCCTTCCGTGATTTTTGAGAAAGGTACTGTATGGACCATTTAGGGGGAAACTGGATAAACAGTGAGCTGTCACAGATTCACACAGGTAAATGGTGCAGCCACTGCCCAATCTCCGTAGGGCTCAGTTATGCCAAGTCAGCTTCAGGACAGGGGAAATGGCTGGCTTGGTAAACTGTGTGCTGTACAAGCCAGAGGACTTGAGTTTGAATTCCGAGCTTTGTAAAAAGCTGGGCTTCTTGGTAGGTACCTGTTATCCCAGCTGGGAAAGAGGAGAAAGGCTGATTCCTGGAGCTCACTGGCTCACTGATGAGCTCCGGGTTCAGCAGGAGACCCTGCCTCAAAACACAAGTGGGGGAGGGGGGCTGGCTGAGAAAGACACCAGAAGTTGACTTCAGACTGCCAGATACACACATGGGCATGCCTCTGCACACACGCATACAGCAACATGAATGTGCACATGTACAACATGCGTAAAACGTCTTTCACAAATATAACTATTTTTTTTTAATACCAGTAAAGTAAGAACTGGAAATTTGTTCTACTCTGAGGTTTCATTACAGACAAATGGAGCAAGCACACACTCTAGTCTTACCTGTCACATACTTGGTGGATGGCCTAGGTTCCTGGCCAAGGACAAGGCCAAGGAATGCTGGGCCTGGCAAGCCAACGTTCCCATGGCTGCGGTCACACCACTACAGGTAGTGTCCCGTTACTTTTACCAGGAGCTATTACTTTATTTCCCCACTGAATTATTAAACACAATTACTTCTTATTTGTTTAGAAAAGAGAGCAAAGAAATATAGAAAGGCTACATTTCTAGACCGATGATGAAATTTCCATCGAAATCCTCTGCTCTCCTGTGAGATGCTGCTTCTCATTGTGCCTATAAATGCCTGGTGGACCGGAATGACAGACGGCAATGGTCACTCTCAGGTAGACTAAAGGGCCAAATTCTACTTTGTATTAAACTATGCTGTTTTGGCACACCTGTCAAGAGTCACCATTTCTGTGCAATGCCTGTTCCCTTCCTTCCTCCCTCCCTCCCTCCCTCCCTCCCTCCCTCCCTCCCTCCCTCCCTCCCTTCCTTCCTTCCTTCCTTGGACTATAATGTAGATATAATTCTAGCCTACCTTTGCTAGGAATGGAAAGAAGGGAAAAGTCTAGGGAATTTCATGTTCTAAACAAATTTAGTCAGTCCTAATCGAGATGTTTTAATGAACCTCTTAACATTCATTAAAAAATATCAACCTGATTCAATACCCAAATGGAATGATGGCAATTGGCCATAAAATAAGCATCTCATCCTAGCTAACTCTCACTCTGCCAGCCCTCTTACACGGAGAACATCTTGTCTAACAATACAGTGTGGGAATGGAAGCAGGATCTGTGGTACTGAAGAATGCTGTGCTTTCCTCTGTCTGGAGTCGGGGGAGGGGGATGTTTGACTGTCTCAGTAGGCCTAGCTACTTTTGGGGGAAGGCGAGGGAGGGAGATCAATCTGTCATGAAATCTCGAAAACAAAATGCACCTGAATTTACACAGTGTCCTTTTCAGAGCGCATGTTCAGGACGGTAGAAGGGGAAGATGAGGGCGATGGTTCTGACTATGGCTGGGTTCCAGAAGGGCCAGCCTCGTCCTCCATGGCCTTCACGGCTATGATTGCATAGCCGTGTTTTCTGATGCAAATCTAGCTCTGTTCTTCATCATCATCATCATCATCATCATCATCATCATCATCATCATCATCGTATTTTCCATTTTCTAAGTCGTGCCAAATCGTGAAATTTGTAGGTGTGGCAGAAGCAATAGAGGAACTAAGAGATATATGCTACCCTAAGGACTTTGCTGGGATCAGTGTTGGCTAGTCAATCTTCTGGCACAAATATCCCTTGGCATTTATGAAACTGGTGCTAGTTGAGTATAAACGAAAGGACTTTGAGCTCTTGAAGGTGTCTGCTTTGCCATTATTTTGTTACACTTTGACTCACGTTCCTCTTTACGGTCACCCCTAAAACCCTCGGCCCAGCTATTTTCAACCGAGAGACAGCTAGCAGATAAGACATTGGGATTTCTTGTACCCAAGATCTCTGTGTGCCTAAGGAGATGTCAAGCAGCCTGCTCTTTTCGGGGCAAACACGGCCACTAAAGACATGTTGAGCCAACTCTGTGCGTGTGGCTTGTCACAGATGACTGAGCTCCTCTTCGCAGAGTTAGCTGCAAAGCAGCTGAGTCAGAGCTCCCCAACAATGACAAGCTCAGCTGCGAGAGGGCCTAGACACAGAGCAGATGTTTCCAAGTCTTAACAAAAGCAAATCTCAGCAGGTTTTAATAGAATTCAAGTAGTGGGCACTGGCAATTTGGCACATGCAGTAGAGGGGCGGCTCTCTTGCTCTCACTTATGCTAGTAAAGGGGAGTCCTTTAAACCCACTGGGTCCACCACTTCCGCTGAGATAGAGAGAGCCCTTACTGTCACCCTTCAGAGGTTAGTGGAGCAGAGCCAGTGGTGAGTGAGTCCAGCTTCAGCTGGGGGAGGTAGGAAAGTTCCAGAAATGAACGTTGTGATGGCTATACCTATGCCTGTTTAGTCCTCGGGGAGAAGAAAATGGTGAAAACTCCAGGAGTATGCCTTTGGGGGGGATTGCAGATAGTTTCGGTGACGTACTACCAGTGTGGTGTGCGCATGAGCGCGCACACGTGCATTCCCGCATGGTATTTGTAAAGGAGTCCATAAATCATAGACCACAGAAAAGTAGAACGTAGGAAGGACCTAAAGAGAACTTCTAAATAATTCTAATGGATAAATCTTTCTTAATCAGATGATATTGACAAGACTTCCTAATTGCAGAAAACCAGGAGTTAATTTAACCCTCAACACGCACAGGCAAACACACTCTAAGGGTCGAGGCTGATTTGGGGGACACCTGTTTGGATTTTTAGACCTGTGACACTCAGCAGCTGACCCCCGACAAGACACTGTTACACAAGCTCTAGAGTATATGGAGGCCACTGTTCCATATTTTTAATTTAGGAAAGTGTTGTCAGATCTTCATATGCTTCTATAAAGGATCTGGGGCTGTGTGAAGAATGTATCACCATTAGAGAACTGGCAGGATTCATTAAAAAAGAGCTTCTGTGTGTTAGTTCATGTGAGCAAATTCAACAAGAAGTGTGCGGACCTAAGTCCAAACTCTTAGAAGTCATAAAAGAGTTGGCATGTGTTAAGCAAGCATCTAAAGAAAGAAGCAGAGACAAAATCGGGGGGCAGTTAGAATGGTGTACACACTAGAGGAACAACAGAGACTCTCTCTCAAATGGGAAGGGCTCAACACCCAAGGTTGTCCTCCAACCTCCAAATGCACATCAGAGCATGCATATACCTGCACTTGCACACCCAAATGTGCACACACACACACACACACACACACACACACACACTCACAGAGAATTTCCTGGGGCCTGGTCTGTAGTGTTCAAATTATAAAAATCTATGTCAAGTAGCTTTGCATTCTAATCATAGGTGCTTACATAAATTCATCGACTGACTAACTGAATCTATATTAACACGTTTATTCTGAGTTTGTGCTCATGGTGCTACGTGCGTATGTGCCTGCTGCGGGGACACACAGCATTCACTCTGGATTATGTAGAGTCCTCTGTCTGCATTCTGATCCTCACAGGAAAGGTTTTAGAGTGTTTGGCTACTCGTTGTTATTCTTTGACCTTGGAAGACAACCATCAATCCAACCTCCAGCCAGCCTCCGACAGGCAGCAGACTTCACAGCACACTGTGGCAGGTGGCTTAGCTGCTCTCCATCACACTGGGGAGAACTCCTGAGCATGTGACCCATGAACTGTGAGAATGTTACCAACCACAACGCAGACTGGAGAAGTCCTGTGGTGAACCTACAACCTGTCGTCCTTCTTTCGTTTCTTTTCTTTTCTTTTTTTTTTCCTTTTCTTTAAGACAGGGTTTCTCTGTGTACCATGCTGACTGCCCTGGAACTCACTCTGTAGACCAGAATGGCTTCGAACTCAGAGAGATCGACCTGCCTCTGCCTCCCGTGTGCTGGGATTAAAGGCGTGCGGCACTACCACTAGGCTCTGTAACCTCTTTTTAAGGGAGACAAAAAAAAAAAAAAAAAAGAACAAGTGCCTTTTAATTCCACAATTCAGATATTTGAACTAAAGCCATATGATTAGAAATATTAGGAATCTCAGAGAGAAGGTGACCTGTCTTCCTCAGGCACACACACCACTTTTGTCAATGCTCCTGCAAACCTATCCCTCCCTTACTTTCAGGACCACCAAAAAGAGCGAAGAGACCATTTAAGCTGAGCAAGATTTCCACTGATTTCTGGCAGCTGCCCTACATTCACTTTCCCCAGGGCCAGACTCGGGGCGGGGGGAGGGGGGAGAAAACCAATGGCAGGACTCAACAGTTAGCATTTGTTAATGAGAACACGAACCCCAGAAGCGAAGTTTAATTTCTCAATCTGAACCCGAGCTCCAGAGATGAACATCTGCTTATCTATGTGACTTGGAAATGACCGTGTTGCTTGCCCTCCCCACATTTTAACGTTAGCTCAGCTGTTAAAGGAGCTTAGAGAGGAGACCGTGTGTTGTTTTACAAATCCCTGAAAGTGACTTAATTTTAGTAGTGCTGGGAAATTGGCATTTGAAACCTCATTTTTTTTGTCAATATACATGATGTATTTAAATAGGAGGGAGCAAAGGGATAGAACAGCCCGTCAAAATCTTCAAGTCCACACGTTCTAGTTCTTCAGCAATCAACGAAGACAGACGTACACAATGAGTGTTTCAGTCTTAGTAAGTCCTGCGCGTGTGAAGCTGCGATGGGGGTGGGGGTCAGAGTCGGGGGGGGGGGGGGGGGGGACACTCACCTAGTTCAGGTGCTTTGCTGAGCACAAACGCGTAAGCCCAGAATTTGCTGACAGGTCCATTGTAAAAACTCTGGTCACAAACTGACTGCTTGAGGCCTTTGGTCATCAAAATGTACACCATGTAAGCACCAGTTCGAAGAGCACCGAATATACTTCCATTAGAGAGATTAAAAACACAGAAAAGAAACAACAATTAGGGAAAGAATTTCACTTATGACACATTAATCTGTCACGGTGTAAATGTGAAATGGCCCCCGAAGGCTCTTTTGTTTGAATACCTGGTCCCCAGCTGGTGGCCTGTTTTGGAAGGTCCTGGAACCTTTAGGAGGTAAAGCCTTTTACAGCATCATTGGAGGTAGCCTTGAAGTTGTACAGCCTGACCATACTTCCTGTTGTCTGCCACCTGACTGGGTGGAAATGGTACCAGCTACCTAATGTTCTTCCTGCCATACTCCCCTCCTCCAATGACGGACTGCATCCTTCCTTAGGGTGCACACCAATATAAACCCATCCTCCCTTGTCCCTCCTTCTCACAGCAATGAGAAGTCTCGGATGTGAACAAGCTTAGATCGGTTGGCTACTGGTCAAAGCAGGCAGAGAAGGCTCCCGTACTCAGTGCCCTGGGTATTTTTTCAAGCACCCTGTAAAGGAGCTAACACAACCCCCGGTCCTCTGTTTTGAAGACCATTTGCTCCTCATCAGTGTTTTAGAATGAGGTCATAGAATAGAAGACTCAGTCCACACCAGCATCTTCCTAAGAATCTCCTAGGAATGGCTTTCTGCTTGGGAACCACTTCAAGGACAGGAGACAGAACAGCTGCCTGTCCTTGGCACTACCTCAGCTTGATCTGTATTTAGTCATTTTCCAAGTCTCGTTGGCTCTCAGCCCCGAAAGTCTGTTAATGTCTTGAAGCTAACTCGCCCTCCGCATCTGGACCAGATGCCTTGGTTCCTGCAGCAGGAACCAAGCCGCTGGTCCTGACCACCTCCTTCTGCTCTGTGGTCATCTTCCTCATCGTATCGGGGTGCCCTCTAGGCTCACATCTACTACCAACCCTGCTATGAGTTCCACCCACCCTAAAAAAGCTAAGTATCCACCCAACTGTGCACACAAACTACCAACACTGTTCTTCAACATGCTTGCCTCCACAGACTCATAGACGGTCCACAGAGATGTCAAAGGGGAAAGGGTTTTTTGTTTTGTTTTGTTTTGTTTTTGACAATAGAAACACAAAACAAACAAAACCTGGAGCTGCTAAGGAAACGGGAGTACTGTGGAACACACTGACTCAATACTGTAACTGAAAACGTGAGAGGACTTGGCAACTGGAGCAAGGGGATTCCATGATGAGTGAATTCCTCAAGTCAGTGCCCATGCCTGTCTAAGTTGTGACTGTAAGCAGCATCTTCAAGTGTAGCGTCCCTAATTTCAATAGGTATTGTCACTCTTTGATTACGGATCCAGTTTAACTCCTTCAGTTGCTCTCTGCACCCAGAAGCCCCTCCTCTCCAGGAATCACGTGATTCTGCACAGCTTCTTTATTGCTCACCCACCTACTGGTGTTCTAGCCAGTACCACTGGGTACTACTGCTGGGTACCACTACCTGTTCTCTCCTCAGGACCCTCTAGGTACTTCCTCCTCCTGGGAGCTTGTCTGCATTCATCCCAAGGCTGGTTCCTTGTCCTTTTCAAATCCCAAAGAGGCATCATCTCCTGATAGGGATGCCTCCATATTTACAGTCAATAAAATAGCCCTAATTTAGAGATGATGGAGGAGTTACTTTCATTTCATAAAGAAACTGCCTTGGCCCATTTGATAGGCCAGCCCTTAGGTGGGTGGAGTAAACAGACAGAATGCTGGGAGAACGAAGCCGAGTCAGGCAGTCACCACGATTCTCCCACTCCAGACAGACGCAGGTTAAGATCTTTCCTGGTAAGCCAGCTCGTGGTGCTACACAGAATATTAGAAATGGGTTAGATCAATATGTAAGAGCTAGCCAATAAGAGGCTGGAACTAATGGACCAGGCAGTGCTTAAAAGAATACAGTTTCCGTGTAATTATTTCGGGTATAAAGCTAGCTATGCGGGCGGCCGGGTGCCAGGAACGTAGCCCGCCACTCCTATTACAACATAGAGACAGTGGTTTGTATCTCATCAGTCCAAGTTGGATAATGGAGCGTCTTATTTTTAACTGGACTTCCTTCAGCCTTCCCTTCTGCTTTACTAGATGCTGGCTGAACTTTCAAGAGGAGAGGTTCCAACTTCTCCAAATCAAGGTTTTATGTCTTAGACACTCTGCTGTTACAGAAGGTAACAGAAGCATGGACGTGTGATCCAATGGTGGGCTGTCTGATGGAGAGTCAAGAACTTCCCTCCTCCATAAGAGTCCTTTGTTCGGGGTGTCCCAATAGCTTATAAATCAAACGTCTCATCTGCAGTTTAGGAGCAATCATGAGTGTCTACCCCAGTTTTAGCACGCTGGTTTTCCTGGCAGAGATTGGTTAGGGTACACATCTGGCCGATTCTAGCCAAGGTGAGAGGCCCGCCTTGTTTGAACACAGACATTTTGCAGCCCTGAGAACAAAGTCGACCCAGGATAGCAGAACAATGGCTCTGGCCGTGGCTGAGCTGGTGAATGAAGTCATGTTTTAATTACTCTGGTTCAGACTTCTTGCATTTGAGTGGTAAGTCTGTATCACGTAAACTACTGGGAAATTTTCTTCCTATTACATGTAGCCCAAAGCCCTAGGTAGATACAACAATAATTTTTATTTTAAACATTCTATACAGAATCACCATTGTGGCTCAAAATACAGTTCTGCTGTTATGGCGGTACATAGTCTATCAGTTATCTCTCATTAACCAGTAGGGGGAGCTATCGATGACTTGTTCAGTCTAAGGCCAGGAAACATCTGATACCCTTCAAAACACATGGGTGAGATCTAGGAGTTTTCTGTAAAATATTTTATAAAGCATAATCTTGCCATCCTATCCAGCCCATCATACATGCCCATGTGGCCAAGATATGGTGATCATGTGACCACCTCTAGCCAAGGTGCTGAGAATTTGGTGCAGGTTCCTTTGGGCTGGGAATGGTTTTGCGGCTCTTCATCTGTACTGTCTGAATGAAACTGTGCAGACACGTTGCCAGCGTTTGAGCTGGGGGGCAAATAGTTATTCACAGGGTTGAGTGCTAGACCCTGGGAAAACCACTGCAGAGAACTTCTTCCATCACAATGACCCACAATACCATTGATAAATACATACGACACACTGTCTCGTGTCTGGACGTAAGACCCACTCCTTGAGCTCCAAACAGTAAGGCTGACTCAGAACTGAGGACAGAGGCACTTCTGAGGGACCATGTCGGTGCCAGCCACTGGGCCCATGTGTTCATGAGCAAAGCCACATTGTTGGGCTATGACAAGGCCTCCTGGCCAACAGGTCCTCTGGGGGAACCCACTAGCTCTGCTCTGCCTCAGCTCAGCCATGTGTGGTCTGGATTAGGCGGCTCTTACAACAGCAGCATGTGGTGACAAAGGACTAAAACATCCTCAGACCTCTTTTGTCCGTAAGTTGCGTTGCTTCTAGACGGTGTGACTCAGCCACGGAAGAGCAGTTCCGGTTCTGTGACCACTATTCTCTGGTAGGCTTGGCCGGGCCTTTCCCTCTCTGGGACACATGACTAGTCCTTTCTATAAAGAAACATTCTAGCCACCCCCACAGCTGAAGTTCAAATCTTCTGAACCCACAGGACAGTTGGGAGTCATCATTCTCTTTGAGCCCTCCCTAGGGAGGTTCCTGTAGCCTGCAGCTCGCTGTTGAGGGCGTGATGCCAAGGAGCCCCTGATGGGAGTGGGGGTGGGGAAAGATGGAAGCAGGGCGGGGATGCCGATACCCAACTGGAGGACACTCTATACCTAGTGGCGCAGGCTCCCTGCTCTCCTACCCAGATTGCAAATCCCGTGTCTGCCAGCTTTTCGCCATCCAAGTCAGCTAGCAAGTTCCTAACTCCGACGAACATCTGGCAAAGGAGGCAGCTGGCACGGGAAAGCAACTAATTCCTGCGGATGGTATCTTTAGTCAGCTGACAAAGGCTATTCTGAGGGGCAGGTGAGCAGGAGTCTGGGCGACGGTGTGAGCAGGCGACCACCGCAGTAATTCCTTTTCTGCTCCCACCCCAACTCCCACACTTAGCCACTCATTCGTTCTGGGGTCACACGCAGTCTCCCACAGAGCTTAGCTTTGTTTCAACAGTGCAAGGGAAGCAAGAGCGTGGGGGGAGGAGTCAACGTCTTTGCCCCGCCCCCCACGCAGCAAGGAGGTCAGTGAAGCGCCCCAATTGGCTGAGACGCTCCTTACCTCTGGCCACCTTGTGAGGAAGGGGGTTGTGAATTTCCCCAGCAAATGCCAGGAATAGCTACTGGGCACTAAATTGGGAAGAGAACAGTCCAAGGGTTAACGAGAGGACCGTGTTCTTTGTACCCCAAGCATATACATTCTGTATTGCTTATTTTTAATAAGCATATATTAACGTTTTAAAAAAGTCTACTTAAATAGGTAGCTGGTGGCCACTGATCACCGAATAAACCAAAGCAGAGGTGCCAGCAGCAACTAGGCTTGTGACGGATTGCCAAGCCAGAAGGTGAGGTCGGACAGCAACCACCTTGTGACTTAAGCACAAACTGGCATGGGGGCGGGTCTGAGAGGAAAGGGAGGAACCCGCAGTCAGGGTGTAAGAATAAAAACAAAAATAAACACAAACAATATCAAAAACCGGCACTAGGACTGTTGGAGAAAAGCCTGATCCATTTACTGAACCAACAACCATTTAACTAACACCAAGTGTCAGATACTGCAGGGCCCGTGGGGAGGGCTGAGAACCTCTGTTACATACTGTAGGCTACAGAGACCCCCTAAAATATGTAGGCAGACACACGTACACACATGCACAAACACACACACCAAACACCAGAAAAGGTAGGAGGGAGTGAGCGTGTATATGGCCAGGACTCCTCTTCAGATGGCTGAACACTTAAACTTAGAAAAAACTTGCCTTTAGCTTGTGTTAGCTTGAAGATCTAAGTATCAGGATCCTTGAAAAAGAAGTATAATACGTGCAGCCTTTTGTTTAAACAGACAAAGATGGTC